GAGCAGCAGCGGTGACTGCTGCCCACCGTGACTCATCTGGCGAGGGGGAAGCTGTTATGACCATCGTCAGTAGGCGCCATGCTGTCGCTGAGAAACGTAGCTGGGCAGCGCTTCCACGCCTGAAACCCCACTTCTTTCGGAACCAGCATCCAGCGGTGGGGAGTGACAAAGAAATTAGAAGACAGTTTGTGAGCCAATTTTGCTAGAAGCAATTCCTCCGGGCCGGCTTGTTTAGCAAGACGGCGAAGCAGACCGACCGCACAGGTCATGTCTCCACGATTCAAGTGTCTACTCCTTGGCTGCCCTTCCAAGGAAAGGCTGAAGAAGCAACCCAACCGTCAAATTGTTCCGGGAGAGAACCCATTTCCTCTTTCCTCAGAGCATTGCGTCAAGAGGTGCAATGACTATTCGGCGGACCGTGTATACTGACTGATGCCCTGTGGGCGGTGTCTTGTGTGTGTGATTGGCGTTCCACAATCAAGGAGGAGGAGCCTAACAGGGTTTATAACGACGCTGCAAAGTGCGGGACATTGCTCTGAACCATGTAACGATTCAACCACCACGCTCATGGTTTGTGATACCCTTAAAATTATGCTGTAAATAAGTGTAAATAGTGCCATAAACCTGTTTGTTTTTCATATCTCCATATTGTCAGCGTTCGTTTCTTCACCCGAAGCTGTGCCTCGTTACCACAAGAGACCGGGTCCAACGTAACCCTGACGTTCCGGCAGCCCATGTCAGCGGGGCAGCGTCGGGTAGACCCCTGTCTGCAACAACTGGTGATCAGCGCTGGGATCCCGAACAACAGTCGCCGACCGCTCATTCGGACACCGAAAACTCCGACATCTTCGTGGCACCGCCACTCGCCCCCTTGATCCTAATGCAAACTCACGACTGAACATTCGGACGCCCCACTGTGCGTCATTCGGTTATTCAAACTTCGTGCGACTTACTGGATGCGTTGCCGTACGCCATTACACGCTGACGGTGACGTTAACGTTTCCTAGGTTGCCAGCACTGATATGCTGCATTGCTATGGATGAACGTCGGGCCAGTGCCAAAATGCACGCATAAATCCCCATTGCCGATCTCGAAGGCTATGTGTGGCGACACTTTTTTATTTTAGTCAGTCGAGCAACCAAGCCAAGCCATCTACAGAGCCTGTTCGCTGTGGCGTTTGGCGTGTGTCAGCGTGTCAGGGGTGTCAGTCAGTTGCTTCTGCGGCTAGGTCTGGTTCGTCTTGTTCTCTGTATTCTCCCTCTCTTGCGTGTTCCGTGGCGTGCTGAAATGGCTCTGATGCCACCCGTTGCTGTGCCGTCGGGAGTGAAGAAATGCAGCCAACGTGGGAGCTACAAGACGCTCACGATAGCGAAGAAAGCAGAGATAATTCGCCAGGCAGAAGGCGGTCGACCTCAGTCTGATTTTGCTCGAGAATTTTCTATTTCCAAGCAAACCGTCTCAGACTACCTCAAGCAGAAGGCTAAGATCCTGGAGGCAGCTTAGAAAGCGTCTGCGAGTATGCAGAAAAATTTCCGGGAGCAGCCACCCACAGCTTGAAGAGGCGCTGAACATACAGTTGAGTGCCATGGTGGCTAGGAAAATACCCGTGTCTGGCGATCTGCTGAGACAGAGAGCAGACACACTCGCCTTGCGCATGGGTATTGCCGGCTGCAGGTTCAGTGACGGCTGGTTGTGCAACTTTAAGAAAAGGTACGGCCCGGCCTTCAAGTAAATGCGCGACGGGAGTGCATGGTTCCACGACCAAACACTCGTGACCAACTACCGCGCCGACAAGCTGTGCGCACTGCTGTGCCAGTATCCACCAGAAAACGCCTTTCATTGTGATGAGACGGGACTTTTCTATAAGATGCTCCCTGACAAGACGCTAGCTTTGTCTGAAGAACGTTGTCATGGGGGGAAGCATAGCAAGGAGCGACTGACAGTTATAGTAGGAGGCAACATGATGGGAACGGAGAAACTTCGCTCCTCGTGATAGGAAAATCAAAGAATCCGAGATGTTTTAAAGGCATCAAACCACTCCCTGTGTGGTATGACGTAAATTCAAAGGCGTGAATTACGCCAAACCTCTTCAAACAGTACCTTTGCAAGTTCGACCGCTGGTACGAACAGCAAAATCTCAAGGTGCTGATGTTCGTCGACAACTACAGTGCCCATGGGCATATCGACAACTTGGAGGCTATGACAGTGGAGTTTTTGCCGTCTAACATGACAAGCGTGTTGCAGCACATGGACCAGGGCGTGATCAAAAACTTGAAAGTTCGTTACTGGTCGCGCCTCCTAGATTGCATGCTGTTATGCGTTGACAGCAACAAAAACTATGTCGTGGATGTTCTGGCGGTGATCAGCATGTTGTCCGATGCCTGGAAGTCAGTGACTCGGGAAAAAATCCAAAACTGCTTCCACTACACAGTGTTTATGACTGGTACTGAGGAGGACAGTGCCACAGACCAGAACCCCGTGGTTGAGAGTCCGCCTACCGCAGCATCGGACATTTTGAACGACCTCTGTGCTAGCGGGGTTGATGTGGGGGCGGGTACGTTTGAAGAGTTCACCAACTTCGACACTGCCGTTTTGCCTTGCACAAAGTTGGACGATGACGACATCGTCCGTCAGGTCTGCGAGCCGGCGCTGGCGGACAGTGACTTCGACGATGACGCGCCACCCGCACCACAACCATTAAATGTGGACTTAGCGCAGGCCATATCGATGCTGTTGTCTGTCTACAGCGACGGCCAGACAATCACAGAGGTACAGGCGGACGTGGTTGCGCGTAAGCGTGCGTGTGTGCAGACGCGCATAGACAGCTTTTTCGTGTGATCGAGCCTATAAAAGTGCTTTTTTTCGAGTGAATCCGTTTTTTCAAACTCTCGATTATTCGAACTTTTCGGCGGTTCCCGACGAGTCCGAATAAATGGTCGACGACTGTAGTAAAGAATATTTCTACTGCCCTGCAAAATTATTATTACTGTGATATATGGTACAAATCTGTAGAACAAAAAATGCAATTTCTAATATGGTACTATATTTAATGTAAATATTACTAAAGTATTTTGCTAAAAAAATTCACAAAAAAAATTTCACAAAAATGAGAACTCTTTATAAGTACTGTACACGAATGCTTCTTTGCACCAGCTGAACACAAAAAAAAAAAATTCAAAATATTCATTTTAACCGAAAGTGTCCTATCCATACCCCTGAAAATATCAGCATTCCACCTGCAACTACTAATTAAACACGAAATAAAACATAGTAGCTACACTGCCACCACACAATGCTGTTATGTGATGCAGTGAAGCACAAGTTTGCACAGCATGTCTTACAGAAAGCGTAGGTTGTTTGTTCTATTTTCGACTGAAGAGTATGCATTCATGCATATTATTTATTTGCATTTCACATCTTGGTGGTCGTTTTGCAGCTAAATAACAGCTCAAATAAACCGACAAAATGTTGTTTGAGCTGCGGAGCGCAATGCCGAAATCTGCTCACGGTCAGCCTCTTGTACTTAACTCCCTTCCTCGAGCCTCCAGCGGCAGGCAACCTTGCCCAATCGATGTTGACACTCTGCACGTAAGAGCTGTGACCTTAGAACATGCCGGATATCTTCAGAATGGAGCGTGGCAGCAACAACTCGGTTTCAAGCAAACGACAGTAACCAGCAGATACCTGTTCACGCTCCGCCACTGTTCGACACAGTATCACTATCTGTGCAGATGTCTAATGAATCAAAATCATCTTCAGAGTCTTCACTACTACCATCATCAAAAACTAATGAATTATACTCGTCAGAATCGGTGAAATTTGCCATTTCTAGGAGGCTGGTGTGTGCGATGCCGACCCCGACACTGAAGCTACAAACGTTCAACCCTCTCAACTTAAAAGGCACTTCAAAGCTCCCTCAGCAGCAGGAAAAGTGAACGAAAAAGCGAAACCAGAAAAATAAACCAGGAAAATCATTGTTGTTCTATGCATAACATTAGCTATTCATAAGTGCTTTCAAAGCAGCAAAATACAATGTTAAAAATCATTGACAGCAGACTATCAGGAGGTATAGATGCACACAGAAAAGTGTAAATGCAGAAATAAAATTTAACTGACTTAAAATTCATCAAAATAACAGTATACGATTGGTGAATCATTGGTGGAGTTCATTTCTCTGTAAAACGCAACTAAAAAGCACAGGGGACATTATTTTTTTTTTGCCATAGTGTAATGAGTTTCACTTAAACTGAAAAAAATTAAAGTGGACAAAATCATCTTTTCCATTGGTTGATGGTTGTGGGTTCGAATCCAAACAACAAAAAGAGTGATTATTAATCCAATTTAATTCTTTTAACCTAACCCTAACCCGCTTCCCTTCCAGAGAAGGGAAGCGGGTTAGGGGGAGACAGAAGATTAGGTGGGCAGATGAGATTAAGAAGTTTGCGGGTATAAATTGGCAGCAGCAAGCACAGGACCGGGTTAACTGGCGGAACATGGGACAGGCCTTTGTCCTGCAGTGGACGTAGTCAGGCTGATGATGAATTCTTTTCAACTAATGTGAAACTCATTACAGTGTAGCTGTAAAAGAAGCTAAACAAATATTGCCCCCTATAATAGATGAAGCCAAAAGAGGGTGGGGAGAGGCATTCACCCTCCTCCCCCAATATTTTTTAATTTCACATGTGTATTATTTTTGTGCACACACACACGCACGCGCGCACGCACATGAACATACATGAAGTATAGTTCAGCCTCTCCTCCCCCCTGCCCCACTCAACCCTGAAAATAATATTCTGGCTATGTTCCTGTTGCTTGTGCTAATTCTGCAAGTTTTCCTAAATATCAGCAGTACGAGCAGATTCATTTCATAATATTTTGGTCCTTGCACAAGAAACCTGCATCATTGTGAGTCTTCACAAATGCACAACTCTAGATACTGCTGTGGAGCATGCGTTCACAACACATCAGCACTGTTGGCCGTGGATGCGCCGTCTACTGACCTTCGAGGTCGGCGATGGGTGTAAGGAAGAGGGAGAACCATGCACGATGGAAGGTCCTCCTGAGGAGCTCCAGGTTGAATGGGTAGTCCGGGTAGAGCAGCGCATGCGCCACAATGCCTCCACTGATGATCACCAGTAGTGCCATGCGCATGAAGTTCACAAAGTCCTCGGCCACCTGAACGAAAGCCGGCCACAATGCGAGTTGCAGCTTTGTAAAGCATAAGTGTCCTCAAAGCATGCATGACTGAATAGTTATTCAGTTCAATGCTTTTAATGAAAGTCAAGCGCTATCAGGAAGAAATGCTCAAATGAATTCTATGTGCCATAGCTGACCAAGGTCTACTAAAGAGGAGACGGAGAGAGAGAAAAATAGATGAAAAGTAAAAAGACTGTATATGGGTTATAGTTAAGGCTCATTCCCACCTGCAACTAGCACCGCTTGCGCGACCATTTGTAAATGGCAACAAAGGAGTGGCTCAAAAGAACCGATGTTCACAATAGCTCGTGCCTTCACCACATGGACTTCACATTTGCTTGCACTGCCATGGCCTCGTGAAATAAGCTGGTATCCTGCTTTTGCGCATCCTATTGGTTTGGATATCTGTGACTACAGAGACGAGAGTGAAAAATCAAGCATCGAGCGACCGAGCCAAGGCAGCAACTTTTCAACTAAAATGGCGTTCAGCGATCACTTAGGATCAGTTTGTGACTACTAACTTCGTTGCGTGACTGGTGATAGCCATACGCGTCAATGAACCTTTACAGTGGAAGGAACATGTAGAGTTCTAGCAGGAACCTGTAGTTTTATTAATTGTGCAATTGAAACATTCTCCATGCATCTCACGAGTGCAGCTTGTTTGCACATTCAATGCTACATGATATTGTTTCTCTTTATTTAACTGTACATGCCATGTAATACCGTAGTCGCACAATTGTCAGTCGACACCAATGTAGGTTGACCCGCCTAAAATCACTCGACAAAAAAAAGGTCTAGTTTTGGTTTTGATTCTAAGTTGACCCCCCAACATAATATCTCGAATTTAAATAAAATGGGCCAACCTACATTCTACCAGCTACCTGCTGATAAAAAAAAACAGTTACTTGCTGCTAATAAAATTTAAAAATCCTGATAACAAAACAGTTACAGGCGCCACATATTTCTTCACTTTTGTAAACTAAGTACCATTGGTTATTTCACTTGGGAAGTTTTGGGACTGCGTGGAAATTTTCAAAACGTTGAATAACGCAATGCGTATTCACTGGCGGGCACTCACAATGTTCGAGTTTGAGCTGTCTGGATCATCAATAGAGCACCTACTCAATTCATTGTCATTGTTTTCTTCACTTCCAGGCACAAGGCACAAGGTAAATATCTGTACTCAAATCATCATCACTCAAACAAGATGATGACAACGAATAGCTTCTTTTTCGTGTTCACAGACCAGTTATGCATGAGTCGCCGCCACCACAGGCCCTCTTTTCGTACAAAAACCTTGCTCCTGCCACAGGAGAAAATTAAATCTTCTAGCAAATACTGCCATTTAGTGGATGACAAGCAACCTAGGTGAAAATTTCCAACTGGGGATATAAATGGTTCCTATTGGGATTAACTGGTGCCAGTTGCAGGCCACCTGGTTTCCGCTGAGAATCAACTGGAAACAGTTGATCCCTGTTGCCAGTGGTTCCAGTTAGTAGCTGGTCCCAGTTACAGCTCAAATGGCTTCATCTGGGAACAGTTGGTCACAGTTGCAAGTGGTTCCAGTTAGCAGCTGATCCCAGTTACATCTGAACTGGCAACGGAGACCATCACCAGTTGAACTGGAAGTTGCTGGTCCCTGTTATGTACTAACTGGAAGTACGACATATGTTCTGATGGTACGCTTATTCACAGTGAAAGAAGAAAAAAGTCGAACTCGATTGTGTATGATGTAGAATTGTTGCACTTGAACAAATGGGCTTTCTCCGAGAGTTTATATTTTTTCTGTCCATACACATGAAAGTGTACAGCTATGAAGCCAATAGAGTGCCAATAAATTAATACACTAATAAACAAACAAAGGTTCTATAGACTAGCATGCCACGTATAGTGCAACATAACACATACAAAGTGCCGTATTTGCGGTATTATGTATGCATTATATTGTTTTGTATGTGTTACATGTTACACTATACCAACAGACCAATATAATCAATAATTTGATAGGCTATTAGTTTTTCTGTGGGTGACATTAAGGAAATTAACAAGGTCTTACACAAGGTAGAGTAAAGAAGGAAACGAGGAGGATGTACGCACCATGAGGCGCACTTTGTAGAGCAGCGGGCCCAGTGTAGGCGAGATGGGCAGGTAGATGACAATCTGCCGGTAGTAGAACCCGAGCAGCGCTGCACACAGCACCACTTTGACACTGTATGGGCTGAAAAAGGGTGTTGGGCCCAACACACGAGCCACCACATACACGGCCACAAAGGCCGCAATGAGCAGCACCTCCACGCATCGAAGGAACAAGGGCACGTCGTGGTATCTCTGCACAGGGAGTGAAAGAAAGCTGGGTCAGTTGGCATTAATTCAGTATAAGACGAACTGAAGACACAGAACAGCATGAAAGGCAAGAACCCAAACAAGTGATCGTTTGCGGCTGGCAAGGTTGCATCCATACCTTGTGCAGAACGTACGTCCTCCTTGCTGACTCAAGGGCAATGAGCGCTGTCCAAGCACACACAGCCATGTCTACATACCGATTGCCACACGAGGGCAACAGCACGGCCACACTGAACAGTGCCAGGTACACAATGTAGAAGATCTGCACAACAGGAAATCCAAACAAAAGTTTTCCTTGTGCACAATGCTATCCATGAAAAAAATTAAGCCTTTTACATCTTTAGTCAGAATAGGTCGAACCCTGAATTTGCCTCCTTCCACTAGAGAATGGTCAAGACACCAATAGCCCTCAATGAATTTTACTCTCAAACTAAGCTGCAACTGCTTATGTACAATGCCTGGTTGGCTGTGTGGATCAGTTACATAGGCTACAAGTTTCTAGTTCATGGACATAAGAGATGATGCCTCCACTGCAGCTCAGACTATCTTGTAATTTCCTAGCCCAGAAACACACAACATATATAAAAGGGCAGGAACACAAAATATTTATCCATGTGTGCCTTTCTTGTCACCTGTTATATCAGGGTGCAATTGACAGCTGCACTCTACAGTGAAGTAAAGCTGAGTAAAAAAAATCTTAATAACATTGTTTATGACTATTACAGGCAGTATGTCAGATTTAAAATTCTCTCTTGAAAAGAACTAATCCTAAAGCAATGTCAATAACAGGAGTCATCCTTCTATGATTTTTCTTTTTCTAAGGCTGATAGTTCAACACAATTGATGACAGGCCAACCCGTTCCTACTGAACACTCCTTTATCATCTCACCACAGGTACTAGCTTGAGATTTAGAAAAATGCTTACTTTTGAAATCCACAGGGGACCACAGCCCAGTGCAATGGGGAAAAAAGGATAGGGGGTGAAAGAACAACACCAAGTTGGGGTACCCCTCTCCTCATTAAAAAAATCTGTGAGAGCCCAGTGGTGCTGGGAACCAAACCAAGTGCCTCTGGTGTTGGAGATGAACATTGTACCACTTGACCCCTGCTGTGATTTCCCACTTCATGACTCAGTTCATCATTACCCTGCACTTCTCCTTCACACTTGCCTATGTAAACAGACTGTTTTCTTCCTTCACCACCATATTTTCACCATCTCATCCTCCTTCAGGAAACTCTTTTATTTTATTTTTTATTTTATTTACACGTACTTTACAGGCTGTCACAAACGAGCTCTCCGAAAAGCGCGCCGCCGAATTCTAGCGACAATAACGATACGAAGCGCAGAGAGGCGCCTCAGGGTCAACGATTGATTGATTTGTGGGGTTTAACGTCCCAAAACTACCATACGATTATGAGAGACGCCATAGTGGAGGGCTCTGGAAATTTAGACCACCTGGGGTTCTTTAACGTGCACCCAAATCTGATCACACGGGCCTACAACATTTCCGCCTCCGTCGGAAATGCAGCCGCCGCAGCAGGGATTCGATCCCGCGACCTGCGTGTCAGCAGCTGAGTACCTTAGCCACTAGACCACCACGGCGGGACTCAAGGTCAACGATAAAGAAGAAAACAAACAACCAAAGGCTCCCCGGGCGCCCGGAGCTTCACACATACTTCGCACAACAAGGAAAAAAGAAACAAAAAGTTTTCGTGACGCGATACGGCTCAATGTATAATGTGATGATCGTGCATATTTGTTACGATGAATACTGAAAGGTTACGAGTTGTCTAAATTTATCCTTATCTGCTTGTGCAACAGTGTCATTTGAAAGCGAATTCTATAGGCGAATGGCTCGTGGTAAAGCCGAGAGATTAAATGCGTGAGTGTTTCCATAGATGCGACTGTGAAGTCGCATCTATGGAAACACTCACGCATTTAATCTCTCGGCATTTAATCATTTAATCTCTCGGCATTTAATCTCACGCATTTAATCTCTCAAAAGTCGCATCTATGGAAACACTCACGCAACGACTTCCATAGATGCGACTGTGAAGTCGCATCTATGGAAGTCGTTGTGAAGACGTGATGTGCAGGACGCGCACACCAATAGTAAGTCTGATGCCTTTTTTTTTTTTAGTAAACATATCTATGGAGTAACAACAAGAGTGCCATGTCACGAAGATTACTTAGAGTTTAAAGGGAAAGGTTGAGTTTTCTCTGCGTTAGCTTGACTGATAGTTGTAATTGCGGGAAATGAATCCACAAGCTTGATTTTGGACAGCTTCTAACAAGCGGATAAGGTATTCTTGATAAGGAGACCATATGGGAGATGTGAATTCAAGCTGCGGATGTACAAACGTTAGAAACGCGAGTTCGCGAATGTCAGGTGGGCAGTTACTCAAGTTGCGGCGAATATACCCGAGGAATTTGGAAGCTTGTGCACATATGGTTGTGATATAAAAAGGTTCAGGAAAGGCTTGGTGTAAGATTAACGCCTAGATATTTGTACACTAATGCCTGATATACTAAGTTTAAATTTATGTAATACGAAAAGCTATGAATTGAATTTTTATGCAAGAATGACATTATTTTACATTTAGATATGAGTTGAGTATCATTTTCCAGGCGTCACACCATTTGGTAACGAGCTGAAGGTCATGCTGTAGAATAAGGTGATCATCAGGGCTCCCAATTGGTCGATATATTATACAATCATCAGCAAATACACACATGCAGGATGAAATTTTACCAGGTAGATCATTAATGTAAAAAAGAAACCCATGCTTGGCATTCAAGAAACACTGCTTAATGATCAGAGCTCTTGGTCAGCTTACACATATACACTTTCCTCACGTGTTCAAACCATGCTGGACTGCACTTTTGTCCATACATTGCGCAATAAGCACAGTGAACATGCTGCCGTTCAAACTATGTGTACTCTGGGGGTGCTATCCCCCCCTATGCAATCATTTCCGCCTCAGGGCACCTGCTGACTGCACCTAGCATGGCTATAGTTGCCACCGCGAGAGTTGGAGTTGTGCTTGTGCAGTGCTGCCAGCAGTGCCACTTGGAAGGAAGTGAGGCTATCTGGGTGCTTGTAAAAGAGCTCTTTTTTGTGTTTTTTCTTGTGCACATGGGTCTACGGGTGCGATTTCATGGCTCAGTTCTATGGACTCATGCAGTGAGTCAAACGGCAGTGACGCTGCATTCGCGGTGCTTTGTATGTGTTATGTTGTTTCAGGTGTGTTATGTTTTTTATGTATTATTATGTTATGTTTTTTATATAACCTTTATCTTGCAATATGGTTCCATCCACAAGAAGATATCACTTTCAGCAGCCAGTCAATTCAGCTTTAACATCACCGTACGTATGAGGGCGTACTCATGTGTGCGTTAACGAGTGTGTCTAGGTGTAAGCATAGAGTACTTTCTGCTTATTTTTGGTGATGTAGCACAGCATCGACAAAGGCCTGCGGTGCCTTTCGGCAAGAGCTGTTGTCAATGCTGTCGACTTGCTGGCCTCCTCAATGAAATAAATGTTTATTTACAACGGCAAGCTCTTCTACTTCAGCATCTTCAAAGCACACGACAAACAAACAATACACAGTGAAAAGTGAGCAGGCGGAGACAAATGGAGCAGTTGCACCAACTTGCATGATGCTCTCCAGCTGAAATCCAAATTACACAAAAAGCCCACAAAAAAAACACTTTGCTTTGGTGGCAAACTTTGCTACTCGGAAAATGATGATGATCATGATCACAACCGCACACACTGCTGGCTGGCAGTTGCAAACGATGTGAAGCCAATTGTTCAAACACGTACGGTGTCACAAGATATTTCCAGTGGAAAAGATATGACCTTTGAAATTTGTATTTCAAAAGGCTGCGATTCTGTTCAGTTACAGCCTGTGAGATCCATGCAAGATTCTTAGCATAGCTCAGAAGTTGCGGCCAAGTGTGCCAAAAAATCGGTGAGTGGCGGATCGTCTGCACCAATTATTCAGTTAAATTAAATATTTGGCATGTACCCCTCAAATAATGCAAATTATGTGAGATTCCCAATTATCAGTATAGTACAAATTACTAAGGTTTCGCTATAGTGGCCTTATATTAGATTATTTGGCCTGTAAATAGGTATTTACAAGACTTGACTGTGAAGGTCGTAATTGTAAAAGCAGCTAATAATTGTACACATGTTCACTTGTTGATCAATGGCATCACTGTGTATGTGTGTTTTATGAGCACTGCTTGCATTTAGATTCCACAGCAAGCTTGTAGCCATGAATTTTTTTTTGGGGGGAGAGGCTATTTGTTGGAAGCTTTGACAGTTTGAGAAAAACACCTACTATCATCACTGTTGAGTATTCGTATTGGTTCTGCGACGCCACCAGAGATGGCGCTGTGATCTATGTACCTGTTTGTCGTGTATATAAGTCCACCGTACAATAAAGACCGGCAGTCGTCGGTAGCCCATGGCGGCAGTCATGTGTACGAGTTCCTCTCTTCCGCGATAGCGGGGCTCACAACGCTGCAATACCACATGGCGACGAGGATGGCCACCGGTATATCTCCCCCGCCGCCGTTCCTCGAGACTCCGGGCACGCCGGCGATTCCTTGGCACCGCTGGTTCCGGTTGTTCCAGAACTTCGTGCTCGCGTCCGGCGCCGACTAGTGGCCAGCAACCCGCCGTCGCGCGCTCCTGCTTCACTGCCTGGACCCCGAGGGCCAACGGATATTCGACGCCTTGCCGGCACCGCCCCCACCCCAGCCGCCACTTTCAACTGAAGCCACTGTCAGCGAGTCCGAGCACACCGTCCGCGCACACCGTGCACACCGCTGCCATAAACCCTCCGGACCCATACGTCCGCGCACACCGCTGCCGCAAACCCTCCGGACCCATACGACGTTGCCGTCGACACACTGGCACACTACTTCACCGCCACCGTTAACGTCCGAGTGGAACGTCATCATTTTCGTGAACGTCGACAGCTTTCCGGTGAGTCGGTTGCCGAATTTGCTTTGGCGCTCCGAGAACTGGCAGCCCCGTGTGATTTCGCCGCTACCGTGGATGATAACTTGTGCGAACAGTTCGTTGCTGGAGTAACTTGCCCGCAACTCAGAGAACGACTGCTCCTCGAAGGCGACACATTGACATTCGACCGAGCGGTAGAAATTGCCAAACTTCGCGAACAAACTCGCCAAGAAGCTGAAGCCTTCGCGAACCCGATTCGCCGCATCACGCAGCGCCAACGCGGACGCAACCCGGCTAGGCATGATAGCCCCCGATTTCGCTTCAACGGGTCCCGCCCCCCTAGTCAGCATCGTCGTAGCTCGTCGCGCACTCGCCAAAACTACAAGGCCAAGCCGGAAACTGCCGCTGCCGACCCCCTGCACGCCGTATCTCGTGATAACTGCGGCACAACAGGATGCGAACGGTCGCGCTGTCCCGCCCGCGGCCGCACCTGTTATGGTTGCGGACGCCGCGGACACTTCCAGAGCGTTTGTCGGAGCTCGCGTCGCGGCCAACCACGAAAGCCTGCACCAATCCGCGAACTCCTCTGCGACGATGACGCTGAGAGCGGTCACAGTATTTTGACCATCTGCACAAACAAACGCAGAGGCTTGTATGTTGACGTCGACGTGTCGGTGATTAACCCGAAGCCGCTCACGCGCAAAGTCTCGTTTCTCATCGACACAGGCTCTGCAGTGTCAATAATTGGGGAAGGTCACTTTCGAAACCTTTTTCAAGATAAAGTACAACTCAGGACCCCCAGCATTACTCTGTTTGACTTTTCACGCCAGAAGATCCCTGTGCTTGGCCTGTTTGAAGCAACGCTGTCGTACAAGGCACGAACAGCCGTCGTACCGCTTTACGTAACGCGCAGTGGGACCTCTATTTTGGGATTACATGCTGTGCAAGCCCTGAATTTTCAAATTTCAGGGAAGGAGCTACGTTGCCTGCACACGGTCGTTCAGCAAACATCCGCCTCCACAACCTCAACGTTGCCTGCAACGAGCTCAGACACACAAGGGCGCATTCCACCGCAAGGCGCTATCGTAGAGCAACCGCAGAGTGAGCCAAAGTTTGACATGCCTGCATTGCTGTGGGCCAGGTTTTCTCACCTGTTTACCCCAGGTGTGGGCCTTGTCAGAGGTTTTCAGCACAAGGTGAAGATGAAACAGGCAGTCTCCCCAGTCGCCCAAAAGTTGAGGCGCCTCCCATTCTCAGTACGCCAACCAGTAAGCGACCAACTGCAGACCCTGCTCTCTGCCGACATCATCGAAAGAATCAATGCCTCCGAATGGGTTTCTCCCATCGTCGCAGTCCAGAAGGAAGATGGAAGCATCCGTCTTTGTGTTGACCTAAGGGAGCCAAACAAAGCCATTGTGGTCGACAACTTCCCGCTGCCTCACACTGAGGAACTGCTGCATGCCTTAAACGGAGCCCGCCACTTCTCAAAGCTAGACCTCGCCTCTGCGTACCACCAAGTCCTGCTGCACCCGGACAGCAGGGATCTCACAGCGTTTTTTACGCACGAGGGTCTTTTTCGGTTTAAAAGGGTCTGCTTTGGATTGGCGTCGGCCCCAGCAGCCTTTCAGCAGCTCATGACAAGAATCCTGCAAGGCTGTCATGGTGTTCTTTGTTACATAGACGACATGATCGTCTTCGGGAAGACTGAGAAAGAACATGCGAAGAACCTGGAAGAAGTTCTGCATCGCATTGCGAAAGCAGGTCTGAAACTTAACGAAAAATGTGTTTTCAATGCAACAGAAGTCTCTTTCCTTGGACATCGTGTCAGTGCGGAAGGCATAGCACCCCTTCAAGCCAAAGTCGATGCAATCGTCCACGCCCCCACACCAGCAGAACCCGGCACTCCGTTCATTCTTGGGACTTGTCGAATACTACGCAAACTTCATTCCTAGGCTAGCCGAGGAAGTCGAGCCTATGCGTCGACTGCTGCGCAAAGACATACCTTTTGAGGGGGACACTCTTCAGATGGATCACCAGGCATTGGTAGCGTTGTTGTCTAACAAGGGAACAGGGCGACGTCCCTTTCGCATTGCAAGGTGGGCTGAGCGACTTCTACGCTACAACTACACCGTCGAATACCGCAAGGGCTCGGAGAACAAGGTAGCAGACGCGCTGTCACGTCTTCCAGCGGAAGGCAAGCCGGAATGCACACCTCAACCTAAAGACGACTCTACAGAAGTTGTGTTCCTAGTCGAGCCGCTGTGCATCGCTAAGGACCAGTTCGAGCAGTCCACCAGTGACGACGCCACTCTGGCAAAAGTCAAAGAATACGTTACTTCGTCATGGCCTCCGCACAAGCTCGTCCCAAGCCATCTGCTGCCGTACTTCATGCTACGCAACGAGTTGTCAGTGGTAAACAACTTACTTCTTCGTGGGGAGCGACTTGTAGTTCCACAGTCCCTTGCGCATCAGGTAATCTCCACAGCGCGTGAAGCTCATCCCGGCATCGTCAGGACGAAAGCGCGACTTCGAGAACGGTTTTGGTGGCCGGGTATGGACCGGCAAACAGAAGTCGCAATACAAAACTACAGCGTCTGTCAGAAGGCCGACAAGAGTGCGAAAATGGCACCTGCTCCACTGCAACCTGTTCCATTTCCAGAGCGCCCTTGGCAAAAAGTCGCCATAGACATTGTTGGCCCTCTGGAAAGAGCTCCTCAAGATTGTAGGTTCGCCATTACACTGGTTGACTATTTTTCTAAGTGGCCCGAAGTACAATTATCCAACAAGGTATTTACAAGAACGATCACCAACTTCTTGCTGTCAATTTTTTCTCGAGAGGGATACCCTGTCGAGATAGTCACTGACAACGGGCCCCAATTTTCTTCACGAGAATTTTCGCAATTCTTGGATGAACGTGGTATTCGACTGACACATTCTTCGGTGTATTACCCTCAAGCCAACGGACTTGTCGAAAGGTTTAATCGTGTTTTTAAGGACTTTGTACAGGTTGCTGCGTTAGAACATGGCCCTCTTCGACAAGCGGCACTGGAGTACTTGGGCGTTTCCCGGTGCACACCTCACGCAACCACGGGAGTAGCACCAGCCTTGCTCCTACATGGACGACTGCCCCGAACACGACTGGACATCAGTGGGCACCCATCCCCATCATTCTTCACAGACCCTGCCAAAGAACTTGGCCAGCTTCAGAAGAGAGTCGCACAGAAGCAAAAATACAGCAAGATGTACACAGACTTCCGCCGTGCAGCCAAGAAACCAAACATAGCAGTTGGAGACATGGTCCGTGTGAAGAAGCCGGCCGTCTCTTTTAAAGGAGACCTCTCGTTCAGTCGTTCTCGGAAGGTGGTGGAACAACGAGGGCCAGCCTCTTTCTGCCTAGACGATGGGTGAACATGGAACTCCTCCAAGTTGAGCAAGGTTCCTGCACAGGCCGCCCAGCCTCACCCAGTCATCCGAATGCCAGATGTTCACGCTCACGCAGCACAGCCTTCAAGCCCGTCACCTATGCCTTGTGACAGTGGGCAATCAGCAGTGCCACTCGGTACCCCCCTCAGTGCAGTGCCTAGTGTTCTGTGCAGCCCTTGTGTAGCATCGCAAGAGATACAACAGGCTGTCTCTTCTCCACCCTCTTTACAACCGCCTTCTTGTCGGGAGCTACCCGCCAGGACAAGACGACCGCCTCGAAGATTTATGGATTACATTTAGAGTGGATCCAGTGACATGAACGCGTGTGCTTGCTGCAATTGAGTGTATATTTTGGTGTAAAGTTTTTGGCATTTTGAGTGTACAGTTGTGTAAATATTCCATGCTTATTGTATATAGATGAAATGCCTCTCCACTAACACGTACTAACAATTACTAATCAACCAAAAAAAAATAAGAGAGGGAATATATTGTGTATTCGTATTGGTTCTGCGACGCCACCAGAGATGGCGCTGTGATCTATGTACCTGTTTGTTGTGTATATAAGTCCACCGTACAATAAAGACCGGCAGTCGTCGGTAGCCCATGGCGGCAGTCATGTGTACGAGCTCCTCTCTTCCGTGATAGCGGCTCACAATGCCGCAATACCACAATTACTAAATCCGCACCCCCCTTATAGAAATTTGAAGGGAAGGGGCGGCTATAGGGCATGCCACCTGGCTACGAGCCTGCCCTACAGTATAAAAGCAGTATATACACAAAGCAAACAAAAGGAAATATCAGATATTGCACAGTGCCTGTTGCTTCTCATACTCTGTTTGTGGCATTGTCCTATGCTACACACCACAAACTAAAGTAAACCAGCTTTTTTTTTTATAGAACCTGATAATAACCATATTTAACAACCGTGTTATGCATCACTAATGCTACAGACACCATGCCCGCTGTGGCTCTAGTTTATGGTGTAGGCAACATTGATTGCTACTGCCTACAATATCGCTAAAGAGAAATAATAAGCAGTCACAGCAAGCGGCTGCGAGTTTGTAGCTGAGTCGTAACTGCATGTCAATGTGCGGTCACTTCCAACATACAACACTGCACCCACGAAAAATCCACCCACCCGCCTTGAATTACAGTACCACAAAAGTACTAAGCATTGTTGCTTGTTCTACCTGGAATGTCCAGAACTTGGTTATGGGCGCATTCCACATCTGGTAGACCATGTTCCACAGCGGTGGAGGCGATGGCACAAACAACTCTCGCTCGCGCAGCAGTGTCGTCATCACCTCCGGCTGGAAAGATACCTTCGTTTCCGACATCAGCCCTGGCAGCATGTCCTGCTGCTGCTGCGGAAGTCTGCACAAAAGATTACTGGTAAGAGATAATAAGTAGAGCTGTGTGAATGGGAACATTATGGGTGCGAAGCAAATTCAAATAATAAAGCTTGAGGGCAAAGTGAATCAAATATAATTGTTGAACATTTTTCTATTACTTCAAAACAAAATTACAGAAGAAAGTTACAGTGGATCCCCTGTATAAACTATATCTTTAAAAACTTATAGCTTCACACTGGTGAAGCTATAAGTTTTATATACACGCAAGATACACTTATATAGAAGCTATATATGCTACCGCATATGCCACAACAAATTTTCCGGCGACCACATTATAACCAGTCTTTCATCTTGGGGGACTGCACAATAATCAATATGCCTGCATTTTCGCCTGCATCGAAAATGCACCCGCCGCAGCCGAGATTCGATCCTGTGGCTACTGTAGCTTGAAGTAAATGATAGTATCGTGCCATCAGTGATTGCTTCTGGTGATGGTGGAACACAAGCAATTTTTGTAAGCACCCAGAGTTCACAGAAAGTGGACAATTAAGCACAGAGTCTCACATGTCAATGGCACGACTCCCATCCGGCAGGAGGGCATCCTCATCGCACTCTCGCTCGTCTTTCTCTTCTTCAATGTCGGCCTCTGCAGAAAACATACAGAAAAAAAGCAACAATGTGTGAAATCTAATTTTATTAGTCTGCAGTTCATAAACACAAACTAGCGAAGCGTTCTGTCAAAAGGTATTTAACGCTAACTTTCCAGCTCTTGGTAACCTTCAAGATGATCAGAGAGAGAGAGACTCTTTATTAGGAAAACAGAGATTCTCGCTGGCATCTATATATCACTGGCATGCTACTCTGTATAGGAATAGAGAAGGGTACTGAAAGATTTCAGAATTATAGTGATGAATCTGGGAGGCCAAAAGCTGTTCTTGCACTCTATCATGCACCATGAATCATAATCAGAGCACTGAAACAATTTAGCAACCAAATGTGGTTTGTGTGATCTCAATTTCAACTTCACGTGTATGCAAAATGCAATTTCTTGCCCAATGCCTGCTTTATCATGAACTGCCTTCGACTGGCAATGGTGCATGCACGAGAAATAAAGGTTTACAAATTTTTGCCAAGGAACCTAGCCGAGTTGCAAAGACATACTTTTCACAGATTACATTCAGAGGGGAAAAAAGGTTGATGCAAAAGTGGTGGTGACACTGCTGCTACAAAAGATGCGTACTTGCACGTATAAGCGAACATGATAAGTGTAGACACTGATGCAACTTTAAAATCCCTGCAATACTAAAACTCATGAAGTGCTGGAATCAACATGGGAAAATAGTAGGCTTGTGCAAATATTGAATTTTAGGTTCGAACCGAATAGGGATTTTGATCGAATAATTTCTAATCGAATTCGAATGGTATGTATGATGTATAATAACATAAAATGAATATTTATCATGACCTAACTAACCTGCACAATATTTCTTTTGAATTGAAACAGGGGCTCTATTCAAAGGCCCTTTTTTTTTCATTCAAAGGAAGTCGAAACAACCTTGAGTAGTAGTTTCGGTAGGATGAGAGTGATAACCTCTCAGATACTTAAGGTTTTAAAATTTATTATACTTGGAGCATATAAGCCCTCATAACAAGCTTAAGAAAATGAAGAATTGATTTGAGGGTAACATGTTCTTTTACAGGGGCCCTGCAACACTTTTTCATGTAGCCATGGAGACAGTAAACATGCTTATTGCTTTACAAATTTACCGCCCGAAAGTTTCTAGAATTAGTCCAGTACGAGGGGAGTGCGAAAAATTTGTCGCATGCTGCAATTGCATTCTCTCTTCTCGTCCCGACCAAACAGCTGGAAGTTAAGTAGAAAGGAATGTCACGGCGAAAGAAAATATGTCACACGCACCTCGTGACCTTGAGCACCTCTTTTTTTTTTTATTCGAATACGTGGCTTTTCACTGTGATCGCGGCTTCCCGCGGCGGCACCGGTCACAACGAGCGCGTCATGCTCAAATCAGCCAATGGCTGTGACAAGTGATTTTTGAGCTTGTAGTGTTATTTGCTGAGGAAAGAAAGCAATTTTTAGCTTTCAAAATTTCTTGTGAACTACAGGCCACGTGCTATGCTGTAATATTTGCTTCGCGTGTACTCAGTAGCCTCGACTACCGATCGGCAGCGTTTCCTGACCATGTTCAGTAAGTGTTGCAGGGCCCCCTTATATTTGAAAGGGGGCTTCGCGGCAAAGCAAATTTCCTCTTGATAGGTGCTTTCCCGGCTTAGCACTCCTACATTGCAATGAAACCACTTCTACAGGCAGTAACATGCGAATTAATGTACACCTATTCGTTGATTGCGAATACTTCGAAAATATTCAATAATTTGAATTCGAATCGAAGCAAATTCGAATACTCAACTATTCATTTGAATATTCGAAGCAATGAAGTATTCGCACAAGCCTAGAAAATAGAGCAAACAGAAGCCAGCAATCAAACTGCACCCATGAGCTATTTTACGAGTTGCGTTCTTCCAAGAAACGACCCATTCAACCCAATCCACTGCACTTTCTACTGAATAGTGACAGTTTGGTGTGTGCGTACCTTCTTTGTATTCCATTTCATGAGGATCCGACTTAAAGCGGACCCACACATACATCGGGAAGACTAGAAATGCACATAAGATGATCTGGAAAAAATAAAAATAACAATAAATGCAGAGACAAATGAGTAACAAAAATTAGGGAAGCTCAAAAAACTTTCTAATACTGTTGATATGTGAGGTTTAACGTCCCAAAACCACCATGAGAATATGAGAGACACCTTTCCAATACTGTTATGAACTTTCCTAGAATGCTTTAATAAAAACTGCCCTTGAGTATATGACTGCCAGTCCAGATGCCATAGAAAATAATTATTATTAGTTTACCAAGTTACTTGGCAACACGAGGTGCTTAATAGCAACTAATAAACTGCAATAAGGTGATATGTACAATCAAATAATCACTGGCCCGTGTGTTTCGTGATATACAAACAACCTGCAGTGGACAGACTTTCATCTTCAAAAAACTGGCAAACAGCATTAGTGTTTGCAGATTTCTAAAGTTCAATGGAAGGAAATGCTTCCTTCTTGCCTGTCATGATGTCTTCACTGGTTGCAACTTACAACAATGAAAGCAAAATCATGGCGCCAAGAATAACCATCACTCATCAAATTCTGATCTGCAGGTCAAATGCATCAGCTGTTTATTTGTGACTCATCTTATACACCAGTGCAATTGCTGGTGCTCATATTTTTTCCGTGAACGTTTACCCCAATAACCACTTTACACATATGCAACATGATTAGACAATTTTATTGAGTGACAACATTCAGAAATGCCTTACTGCACATAACTGCATCTTGTGCTGAACAGTAATTCTGCTCAGCACAAGATGAATGAATGAATGAATGAATGAATGAATGAATGAATGGTGAATTATGGCCAGAGGCAAAAAGATAAGCATCGCTGAATGTAGCTTTCCAACTGCAGCCAGTCAACTACAATAAACTTTGGTTGAGAAATCTGCTAGCAGGTTAGGGTATTACTACTATTGCTCTTTTTCTTTTTTCCAAGCGTGCAAAGAGAGGTGTCAATTTAAATTCTAGTGCACTTACAATTGCACAAAACTGGCGTGATTGCACAGAATGGAGGCACGCACCTTGAGCCACAGAGGCACTGCCAGCGGTCCCCACGTGAGGTCTCGCACACTGATGCGGCCCATGAAGAGGTTGGTGATCCAGCGCTGGCAGCACGGGTGGGCCAGGAACTTACGGTTGTTGGCCTGCGCAGCTATGTCAACAGCTGTGCGGTGTCCCCAGTCCGGGTTCTCCTCGCTCAGCACGTCGTATGCTCGGCACGTGGCCTCCTGATAACTGCAGTCCAGCACGCCTGTCGCCATGCTTGCAAACTCCCTGTGTTTGTTCAAAACAAAATTTTAATTGCAGTGCATTATAAACCATAAGTTTACAAACATACAGATGCTAAGTCTATCAGCTCAAAGGCTGAATTGTTAATTACATGATTGATTGATTGATTGATTGATTGATTGATTGATTGATATGATTGAAAACCACTATATAATTATGAGAGACGCCGTAGTGGAGGGCTCCGGAAATTTCGACCACCTGGGGTTCTTTAACGTGCACCCAAATCTGAGCACACGGGCCTACAATATTTCCGCCTCCATCGGAAATGCAGCCGCCGCAGCCGGATTCGAACCCGCGCCCTGCGGGTCAGCAGCCGAGTACCTTAGCCACTAGACCACCGTGGCGGGGCAATTGTTAATTACATGTATTTAGTGAAACACACCAATAAAATTATGCAATACAGTGCAGTAGTTGTAGTGTATTCAGTTCAACCGTGGTCACATCTTCATAAGGCAGATGGGCTGCTGTATTTATCCAAAGATAATTTAGTGCAAAAGGGTAGTTGAAAGCCTGGAGTACACATCACATTAAAAGCAAAACAATAACACAAAACATTAGCTTGCAGTCATTGCAAAAAACAATGTGTTTAAGATACGAAAGGATAATCCACCAACTCCCTGCACCCAGTTGCCCAAGAGCAAATAGCCATTGTTAGCCGTTAGATGTCCCACTGCCGATTGTAACAGTACCTCCTTCATCAACGACTGACACAACAAGAGCCGTGCAGGCCATATATCAACTGCAGGGTGTGTGCAGTAAAAGTTGTAAAAAAAAAAAAGAGACTTCCAATTTTGAGTGGGGAAGAACCATATCCTAAGTGCAGAGCCGGGAAAGAAGCACAATATTGTAACTGGGCCACAGAGACCCCAGCTGCTCGTGTGCCTTTCTGTTAATACATGTGTACATCTCGATTTTTATTGCAAGTTGACTCCCCAACTTCTGAGTTTCCAACTTGAATAAACCAGGTCGGCCAGATTTACATAACTTGGTACAGCTCTTGGCAACAGGGACAAAGGGAAATAACAGAATCAAGCAACAATGCATAAAAAACAAAATAGGTATAGTGCCCGCTTCTATCCGCTTTTCATACCGCATGGCTGGCCTTCACAACTGCAAGCACACATTTGTGGTTACGTATTTACGTAACCACAATAGGGAGAATAGTACTTTTGGCACTTTTTCAGTCGTGGAGTTACCAGTGCATGACCGTCACTACCAGCTTCACCACCACCATGTTATGGAAAACAGTAACAGTTCCGCCGCAAGGACAAAGCAATAAATGCAATAGCAAGAAATTGGAATGTCCCACGGAAAACAACAAGCAGCTCGGTACTTGCAGCACACCCGTGAAGCACAAAGAAGGACGCACAAAAGAAATGCACAGGTATACACTGAAAAGTGTAAATAACAACCATCACAGTTGTTACATATTTGTATTAGAGTGACGCGCTGCAAGTGTCGACAATGCAGAACCCGACGAACTTAGGTGTTTCTTTTTCTTTTAAACTGCAGCATGTGGGGTGACCTGTCTCTGTCTCCTGCGATGCAGTGGCGTCTGATGCAAAGTGTGTTCAGTGTCCCCCCATTTCACATCACAAGGGGTTACAGGAACGGGCCACTTTTTCGTGCGCGTTTCAAGGGCAGTTTTCAAATTGAAAGAAAATGTAGGAGCACTGCGTGATAGGAAACATGCCCAACCTTCTTTGAGATCTGAAGTGGTATATGGTGTATATAAATAGCTTGTCGTTATCATGCTGGTGCATGCATGGTGCATGGTTGAGTTGTGTAACGCAGCACGCTGCAGAGCAAGGGGTTTCGAATCCCTGGTCAGGTGATTCAATATTTGTTTTCTCCAGATTTGTTCTTCTTCGTCCTTTTTTAATATATATATATATATATATATATATATATATATATATATATATATATATATATACGTACACATATACATATATATATGTGTATACATATACACACACACACACAAACATATATATATATATATATATATATATATATATATATATATATATATATATATATATATATATATATATATATATATATATATATATATAGATGAAATAGATGATCAGAGTTTCTTCCGGCTACCGTAAAAAAAGGTTATAAACTTCGAGAATAGTGCAGTATAGGAAACAAAACAATAAAATATTTATTTAATCCTAACAGTTTCGGCTGGTGGACCAGCCTCCTTCGGAGGATGTAAGTGAAATGATACAGGTTCCCGTAGCAGAGGGTCACCCTCACAGTTCAAAGACCCTCCAAAAAAAAGAGACAAACGGGCGAACGAGGTAGCAACAGACAACAAGAAGCAGAAGGGGGAGAGGAACTAGAAAGGAGCGACGGAGAGCCGCCGGAAACAAGCGGGTAATTCTGGCATTGTTACTGGGTATAGGTAAGACGCGCCGCCAGTGGAGGCGACCAAGAAAAACGGAAAAATGTGGAACATGTTGCCGCTTACTCGCATCCCACACATGAATCGAGTTTAAGTTCACGTGGTTCGGCGGCTGGCCCGTGGCATCGGGCCACACACACACACACACACACACACAAGAAGCATACGACCCGCTCCAGCTTTCGGAATATAATGGCCACGTTGGAAAGCTAATGTGCCCTCTCCCCCTCCCTCCACCTGCCCTCTCTTGCAGAAAAATGTACAACCAGTCATACTGAAAATAAATGAATGGGTATTCTTGTAAAGGATGAAAACGTAAACAAAAATATATAAAAATAAATAATACTAAAAAAGTACTCAGAAATGAAAATAAAGTCTAATAATACTAACACACGCCGTTTGGTTCACGTAGCATCGAATTCGTTTAGTTTCACGCGCTATATTGACCAACTTGCGTGTGCGACTTCCCGTATGTATAAATAAATTAATTGAGTAATTCAATTTCTGTGTTTCACGAAACGTCGCGGAGGCACGTCAGTCGCCCAGGGCTCTCGTTGATTCCGTGGGTAAGTGATCTGAATTTCTTTATAAAGTATGACTCCCGCTGTTCGCGCTCCCGTGTGTTCTGGAAGCCGGATTGTAGGAGTATGACACTTACGCATTCGAAAGAGTGACCAGGAAGATTGATATGTTTGGAGAACGGCAAATTGGGGAGGCCCTTTACGTGTGCCCTGTGGTTGTTGAAACGCAAACGGAACGCGGTTTCCGTGTGTCCAATATATTCCTGTTTGCACACCTCACAGCGAATTTTGTATACCACATTGGCTGAGCCACAGTTAAGGTCGTCTTTAATTTTGTACACATAGTCTGAACAGGAGGCTTCGGCCGTATCTGTGGTCACCATGTGTGTGCACACCCTGCAGCGAGGTTTCCCGCACGGTCTACAGCCCTGATGGTGGTCGGATTTGTGTGTTTTCGCCCTGACCAGTAAGTCTCTCAGGTTTATATTTCTTCGGTAAACCACCTTGGGCGGAGTCTGAAAAATGGCAGAGAGGCGACTACTCTGTTTAAGTATGTTGAGGTGGCGGTTTAGTATAGAATTCACCCGAGGGGCAGCGGCGCAGTATGTGAGGATTAAATTTGCCCCTGAAGTTATATATATATATATATATATAAGAATACTGTTTGACACAACGCTGAGGTGAGAGGAGAGGCAACCGTTTAATGGGCCGAACAGCAGCGAGACAGCAGCCAGCGGTTTCAGCAGCAGCTGCAGCAGCACGAGCCTCCGCCACAACAAACGTCTTCTTCGTCGTTTCTATAGCAGAGGCCCCCTATAGCTGAGTCACTACATTGACTCCCCAGTGCAAAAGGAGCCATCCTGGTGACCTATGGCACAGACAGTACTTGTGGGTCGTAGTGAACTTTTAGACGGTCGACCTGCACAGTCTCGCGCACGCAGCGTCGTTGATCTGTAGGTGGCTGAATAGGTTCAACCATGTAGTTGACTGGTGATGTCTGGCGCATGATCCGGCATGGGCCGTCATACTTGGGTACGAACTTTGAGCAAAGGCCTGGGGCAGACGATGGCACACGGAGCCACACAATTGTTCCAGGTGCGTATCACAAAGGGGATGAGCATCAGTCATTGGAGTGCTTCTGGTGAGCCTGATCGAGCGTAGTAAGCGAACATGCGAGCTGCTGACATTCTCTGACATATGTGGCAGCTTCAGCCAAAGTCGTCAATTCTAAAAGGTCTGGGCGGTACAGAAGAATAGTGTACAAGAACGATGAAGGTTCCTGACCATAAAGAGGCAAGAATGGGGAGAATACATTTGTAGATTGAATTGCGCTGTTGTAAGCGTAAGTAACAAATGACTGTATGCAGTCCCAGTTCGTATGGTCATCGGAAACATACAATGAGAGCATGTAACCTAGCGTGCGAATAAATCGCTCGGTCATCCCATTGGTTTGGGGGTGATAAGCGGTGGTTGTTCGATGCACGATGTTGCATTTGCGTAGGAGGGCTTCTACAGTTTCTGACAAGAAGGAACTCTCACGGTCACTAAGATGCTCGCAGGGTGCACTGTGCCGGAGGATGAGGTTGCGCACAATGAACGAGCCGACTTCACGCGCAGTGGCGTCGGGAAGCGCCGAAGTTTCGGCGTAGCGCGTTAGGTGGTCTTCAGCTACAATGACCAAGCGGTTTCCATTTGGTGTGTATGGTAGGAGACTGTACAAGTCGATTCCGATGCGGCTGAAAGGCCGAGAAGGACAAGGCACTGGCTGGAGTGGCCCTGTGGTTGTGTGAGGGGAGCTTTTCTGCGTTGGCACAAGGAACATCAACAAACATACTGCCTAACAAAGCAGTAAATTCCGCGCCAGTAATATCGAATTCCTAGGCGAGCATACGTCTTCACCACACCTGCATGAGCGTATTGCGGATCCGCGTGGAAGGAGGCACAGACGTCGAAACGTAGGTGGCGAGGGATTACCAGCAACCATTTGCGGCCATCAGATAAGTAGTTTCGCTGGTACAGAAGACCGTCACAGATGGTAAAATGGCGAG